AGGATTAGCACGGAGTACCACACCAGAACACATACGATATGGAATGGCTAGCGACAAAACTTGGACGGTGCTTTTGCCGGTGGTAACTCCAGTTTCTCGCTGTCTTCTTCTTATTCTATTCTCTATCTTCTGCTATTATCAGTCGTTGGAGGTGGTGTCGATGGTGCAGATGTATGTGACCCACTGTTTGTGGTGGGCGGTGGATCCGGTGGCAACCGTCGCGAAGATGTGGTCTGGTTTTGGAAAATGTCGCAGATCTAAGGATGTGTGGTTGTGGAGGTGGTAGATCTATGGTGGTATGTTTCGGGCGGTGGTGGTGGATTTGTGGTGGCGGTTGTGTGGTGGTAATCATTTTTTGTTATTGTTGTGGCGGGGTCAACGGCGGTGGTGGTCCTTTTTGGTGTCCGTGACTTGGCTATTAAACTGTGACTTTAAAATTGATAATTTGTAACTAAAAAAAGAATCTGTGACCAATAAATTTGAAAATACGTACCTGCAGCATATAATCTCTTTGATTTGTGACCTATAAAATTTTAGATTTATGATCTCAAAATAATCTGTGACCTACAAAATTCTTGATCTGTGACCGATAAAAAAATTATGACCTAAAAATTTTAGATTTGTGACCATGAAATAATCTGTGACCTACAAAATTTTTGATCTGTGACCGGAAACAGTTGCCTGAGTGGTCGCTGGAGTAGTAGGGGAGGTGGAGGTGGGGTGATTATATTATATTACAGTTAAATATTTAATTTAATATAATAATTGTGAAATGTAATTAATTAATTCAAAAAAAAAACCTGATTTTTACAATTTTAAATTTGGGGACCGGACTTTTAATTTTGGTAAAGTAAATGTATGATTCATAAATTTTTCCCCATGCTTAAACCATTATGAAATTTTCCCATAAATAATTACGTGGTCCTGATTTTGAGGCGTAAGCCCAATTGCCCCCTACCCCAAGCCGCCAAACCTATAAAGAGTCGTCGGATGACGGAAAACTTTGGTCAGTTTCCTCTCAATATTATTCTTTCCCAAACTTTGTAGCATCATTCTTTCCTCTCAATATATTCTGTAAAACCCAGACTCAATAGTACTCCCCTTAACCGCCTCCCTCTCTCTAACAGCGCCTCACAGAATCGATGGGGAAAAGCAATGATGCAAATGCATTGAAGAGAAGAAAGAACAGAAAAAGTCTAAGTTGCAATAAAATAAAGATTTTCCCTCAGAGGTCTCTACTTTATAGAAGCATTAATGTTTCTATTTTGGCAGCCAAGAAGCGCTTGAAAAAGGCCAAAAGAAGCGACACTCAGGTGAGTTTTCTTTTTCTTTTTTGTTCTCATTGGATAAATTTTTTATTTTTGTTAAATTTTCATTGTTGTAGTTTTTTCTTTTTTTCTTTTCTTTTTTTTATGAGACTGCTCAAGGAATCAATATATATATATTTTTTACTGATTCTAATTTCTATGGCAGTACAATTATCAATGAATGGATGATTTAATAATAATTTGAAAAATTAGGCAATAAAAAGTATCTGGGATTATCTTATCTTTGGTGGGGTTCTTTGGGATTTTCTATTCAAGAATCAGAGTTTTTATTTTTTATTTTTGAAGATTATGTCAGGCTTTGATTGATTCAAACTGTAAATAATTTTAATGCGGGTGTACTTCAGTGAATCAGTGGTGAAAGAACAAAAGAGGAAAATAATTAAATATTAACATCCTTCCTATAGTAATTACACAATCAAACTGTTACGGAAATAATCACAAGAACTCTTGGAGAATATCACAATATTACATGGAACTTGGAGATATTTCCGTATCTTTAATAGTAGCCTTCTCTTTTCTTCATCCCAAAATGCTGTGTCAACCATGCCTCTTTTATCCAAACTGCCTACTAGCACTCAGATAGATCCAACATGAGCATTGCGATTAATTGAATGCCTTGGAACCAAGTGCAGTATAGCGATGCACTAGGGTGTTCACCTTAGTAGACTTTCTGGGTTAAATTTGAGACTCGAGATGGAGAAAGAAGGCTGGCTTTGAGCTCGGAGGACTAAAGGAGCTTTGGTGGTGCACACGCAAAGATGGTTCTGCTGCAAGACTTGTAGTGTCGGCCTTTTAACTTGATCCCGGTTATTTGACTAACATTTTGTTTTGAAAATACTCACCAACACAACACAAGAAAAGGGTAATAGATTGTTTATTATGTCATTCAACTAATTCTGAGAATGACTTTTGAGAAATCTCATCTCCATTGTCACAAACTGAGTTCAAACAATCCAAAATATGTTTTAGAGATTCCATTTTTTCAGAAAATCTACCATGAAATTGATATTTTTTTGTGAAAAGACCATTTATACTATGTGAATCGATAGATATGCAGAGTTCTTTTTGGTACTTCTCAATTGTTCAGAGTCTGGATTGTGGAGAGAAATTGCATATAGGGTGACAATCTCACTATCTTTGCAGTTGTACTTTTGGTGTTCCATTACTCGCGTAAATTGCATTGGAAAATAAAATATTTTGTTCAGGCTTAAAGTTCTCAGATTTTCCCTACGTTTTGGTTTGTGTCTTGCTATGTCTTCTAGTTGGAGGTAAAAACAGGAACTGTATGTTAGTGAAATTGGTTTTCTTAAAGAAAATAAAGGTAGTATTGTAGAGTTTAAAAAACAAATGATTATTACAACTATAATGCGGAAAGTGTAAAACCCGAACCAATAAACCCAAAACTTCTTCGACACCACCAATGGAGTGTCATATGACTTTGAGCTCATATTTTTGTCACACCGGATCATGCACTGTCGTCCACGGAAATGACAATGGATATACCGAGAAATAAATCACCGAAAGCCACCAAGAATTTCGTTGAAACTTTGAACTTTTCCCACTTGGTTACCTCTCTATGCTTTCTCTCTTTTGTTATGCCAAGTCCAAGTGAAACAAGTGAAGGAGACTTATAATTATAGAGCCAAAGGAACCATTTGAATTCAAATATTGTACTGTGAAAGAGATATGACTAGTATGGTAATTGACCACAAGATTAAATCCAATGGTCCATAATACACATCAACTATCACAATCATTTCAAAGTGCTCAAGACAAATACTCATGTACTCATGTGCCAAGTGGATTTAAGTGAGTCTCGAACCCCATACCCCTATAATAACGGTAGGTACCTCACAAGTATGTTTCGCAGTACGCACCCTTGATTTTTACCTTTGAGATTTGTCTTTTTTGATTCCGATATTTTCTTTGATGCCAATGTTTATTACTGAAAAAAAATAAACTATTTTTCTCCAATACTCTAGGTCGGTTTAGTTCCTGCTAATGTCCTGTTATCTATATACAATGTGGTTCTTGGTTTATATAGTTAAGCACTTGATATATTATCATTACTGTGCAGGGCATCTGCTTTAGGCAAGAAACTGCAATCAATCTAGGAAAAACTATGATTCCAGTGATCAATGGAAACGAGTTGAGCCATGACTGGACAGAACATATCTATCCGTCTAAGTTTTTGATGATGTGCTTGAATACAATTCAGAACTCACTTGAGAATGTTGGAGCCCTTAAAATTGAAGACGGACCTCTCTTTGCCACTGAATGGGGGGTTGAGTTCTGGAATTGTTATTCCAGTAGAAAAGATGTGTTGGAGATGAGTGGTGCTGATTCCACAAGGGAGCAAATTGCTTGGATGGCATCGGCTGCTGCTGACACTATTACGAGAAAGGAGAACGAAGGCTTATCATTTAACAGCCCTTTCCATTTATTCCTTGTGCCATCTCTAGATAAAGCTTTTGAGGTTCATAAACTACACTCTCCAAGACATCACTCTTAATACCCATTGTTCAAAACCATCAATTTCCTGAGCTTATTTGTCTTTGTATATCTTCGAAGTTTAGATGATTGCTACATAATTTAGTCATACATGTGTTTATCCACGACATACTGCATAATTCCGAAAAAACCAATTTTATTCGTTTTATGATATCATATGTCTTTAGGAGCTCTTCTGATGTTCTAGTCTTAATCAGGTACGCCTAGTATGGAAACCTTTGGAGGCTGTTGGAATATACACATTGAGTCTGCATTCAGGCACCTCCATAGAGAAACAAATTCACCGGTTAGTATCTCAACCAAATCTTTGGTTGTGAGAATACAAGATTTGTCATGCAAATACTGGCAGTTTGCAAAATATTACATTGGGGAGTTTTTCCCAATATTTGCAAAATATGCATGGTAAGGGATCGTAGGCTACTTAGTTCATGTTTGATGTGCAACACTCGATAAGACTAGAAACGGTATAATGAACGAGAATAACTTATTATTCCTTAATACCGTCATTCCTAATAACATACAGATAACATTATGCTCATGTTGCATAGGCAAGTGTATTCAGGAAGATTGACGTATAACCAATCTTATATGTAAATCTTTTGATATTTCCGAATGAACAATTGTTTTGACATATCTTCGAGAATCTTGGTTGCACATCTGTCTTCTTCATGGCCTATTGTTGTCTTGGAAAGTGATTCTTATATAATGAATCACTGATGAATGTGGCAGCAGGCGATCAAATTTTCACCTTCAGTACTGTCTTTTTCATTTTGTTGCTTCTGTTTTAAGACATTCAAGCTAATGTCTTGTTTGGAGTGAAATGTCACTCTTCTCATATGATTGTATTGACTCGTAACAGTTTAAAGAGTTGTGAACCGGAGTTTCTTGTCTCCACCCCCGAGAGACTTTTGGATCTTCTCTCCTTAAAGGCTGTCGACATATCTGAGGTTTCCTTTCTGGTAATGTTTTATTAGCTGTCTCTATGTTTAAATACTTGGTCGGTTAAACTTTCTTTTAACATTTTCCTTATTTTTCGTTTTTACTGTGCTTTGCTTTCATGGCTATAGGTAATTGATGGACTGGAAGCTCCTTTCGAAGGCAGTTACTATGATGCAATTAAATCCATAAGGCAATTAATATCTGGGAATCCTCAAACTGTGGTTTTCAGTGACTGCGCGAACAATTCATCCATTACTATGCTACAAAAGCTCTTGGGAGAACCAGAATGAAGATTATCTATTACAGCATCTATCCATCGATATCAACAGTTTGAAGTGATATAATCGGGCATTTTTCTTCATTTTCAATACGTCATTTCCATGTATCAATGGATAGATGCCCGCCTTTATAAAAAAAATTTGAATACATACACAAGACTATGACTGTCATATGATAAATCTTCATCAAATATAAAAAAAATAAGAATCAACTCAAAAATTAATCAGCAAACATAGCAAGTAGTAGTACACAAAGATACCTTATTGAAAAAGAATTCGAATTCTGCCAAACCCAATGAAGTTGGACTCTCAATCTTATGTAGAAAAATTACTAAAATATTTTGTTGATGGAAAAATTTGGATCCACAACAATGGAATCTACAAAAATTGAATAAGCAAATTTTTGAATTCTAAATGAAAGCATTTGAAGGTTTTCCCAGTAAATTTTAGATCCAATGAAACACTTTGTCTTATGAATGCAGGGCTTTTATGCATCGACTTTCTCCTGACTTCGATCCAGGATCGTCTCCAAAATGTCATAGTGACCATAACCATGAAAAAGAACATTTATAGGACTTTCCTCTTCCTTGCTATACTCTCCGCCATAATTCGCTATTTTTATTAAACTACCCGTGCCTCTCTCTATCATGAAGACAGAAACTGGAGTCCTGCAACCAAAAAAAAAGTTCGAACAGTTCATATTTAGTGTTGAAATAGCATTTTGATGGTATGTCGACTTGGAAGGGTTCTAATTTGAACTGAAATCGAGCAAAAGTACATTCTATAATCACTACGAAGCCAATCATCAAAACAAATTGGAAATTCACAACGAAAGATGACATGCTATAACCAGAGCAAGGTCTTTTAAAAGAAAGAGCATAAAGAATAAAGATATCCCACTATATCAAAGAAAGAAAACCAAAAGAAGTTCTCAGTCCAGAAAAAAATAGTGTAAAGGTATTCCTCCTCTGACCACAAACAATTAGTCCTTTTAGGATAAATCAATGATCAACATCATTAAATATATTCCAGAAGTTCATATGCTCATATTGTAATGATATTTTCAGAGTCGAAGCTCAATTTAAATTACTACACCGCCCAAAAGATGTCAATTGAAGATCAAGAATAACAAGCCAAATAAGAGTGTGTTTGGGACACATTCTTTTGAAAGAATGTATTATTGAATAGTAGATTGATGGAGAATGTGTGGTTAAAAATGAAGGAAAAGTTATTGATGTGATGGAAAATATTATTTTATTGAAGAATGTGTGGTTGAAAATGAGTAGAAGAATGAGAATGAAAAAAATAACGTGTACCAAACAGGGCCTAAGATTACAAAAGCATTTTTAACATATAAATATAGGATAAGAAAAGCTACCAACACAAACTATGTACTTGATATGCATTACCAATGAAAGGTTCTCACCTAAGAACATGAGAAGCCATCAGCAACTCTGGTTCTCCACCCCATACATAAGGCTGCTTAATTCTTTTAACATACTCATCGAAATCTTCCTCGATAAACCTGCAAATATTACCAGGAAAAACTTAGCTACAAGAACTCAACAAAATCAGATTTTTCAAGAATTTAATTCAGATAAGAATTGAAAAGAAATACACTTACAATTCCACTTCTTTTCGCCTCTTTAAAAGCTCTTCAACGACCTGTATATTCCCATTAAATTGAGAAAAAATAGGTATCCTCAAAAATGAAAATGATTTCTTAAATAACTAAAATTATATCTACAAAAAGTGAAGAACCCTGTGTGTAAGTGAAAATTATATACTTGAGCTCTTAATTCATCAGCAAGCTCTCTCTGGCGATTCTCATCAGGAGCCTTCTCTCCATTTCTCAAGCATGCCATGTGTGCAATTGCCCTAAATAAACACCTCCCGTCCGCTGGCACCCCTACATAGAGTTTATTATACATTAATCTTTCAATTTCATATATGTTCTAAAATTACAACTAAACAATCAGGAAATGAAAAAATTAACAATGAATAATTTGAAATTTTACCTGTGACTGTGTAATTGGAAGAGCCAGGATTAGCTGAATCAGGCATTATTGCATTAGTTTTGAAGCCATCAACACTGTCATCGGCAGGTGCTGAGACCTTGCAGTTGACATCGGAATCAAAATCGAGCAGCGGGCAGGCGCCAAAGAGGAGCCAAGCCGAATCAGGATGGTGTAGCCAGCGCGCCGGCCGCGCATCCCAAGCCACGTTCCATGATCCCTCACCACTCTTCAACCCCTCGTGTTCTTGTCGACACAACATCGTCGCCCGCCGCCGCTGCCTCCACCCTGAGGGCAAAATCGCATGCCATATCGACGCAGTGCCGTTGCACCTCGTCAGACAGTTGATCGAATGATCCCTTCGTTCTCCGCCAACGACAACTGGACGCACTGAACTCCTAACAAGCCGGTCGTAGGGTGCCGCCGCCGAACCGTGGGCGTAGGATAAGGAGAGCGACGTTAGTAACCAAGGTCTGGGGCGTGCGCACAGTACGCCGAGCATTACCGGAATGGTGAGTCGTCGTAATATATGAATAGATCTCAACGTGCGGTGTGAGCAAATTATAAGTTAAGGGTGTGTTTGAATCTAATTTTGAGGAGAATAGAAATTTTGGAATAGTGATTGATGTGAGAATGTGTGGTGGAAAAGTGATGAAAAGTTTTTGATTTGGGTGTAATATTATTTTATTTGAAGAATGTGTGGTTGAAATGAAGAATGAGAATGAGAATGAGAATGAGAATGAGAAATTAATGGGTGCCAAACGGGGGCTTAATATACGCAGCCATGGAGGGACTGCAAAAATATTATTTAAACTTTAATTTCCCAGTTCAATGATGCTGAACGAACAGGGAAAAAATGTAAACAATTGGGCCACGCAAATTCCATATGCCCTCGTGTGTTCCTCTCCATCGGTGGTTTCAAGCTTATACGTAATGACCAAAAAGCCCTCATATGCTAAATATATTTGTTCTCAAAAGAAATTAAATTAATAATAAATACTTAGTGTTTTATTTGATGTAGATTTTGAAAAATAATTTTTGTAAAAAAGAAAAGTGAATTTTGTCGGAAAAAAAAGTATTCATTGAACGTATTTCGATGTTGTGAGCAGGGGCAAATTAGTGATGGTGGAGAAAAATTAGGTGATTAGGCGAAGGGGTTGGTGAGTCAGTCACGTGTTGAACGAGAAATGTGGAAATATTTTGTTACTCTGTGAGCATTCAATATTTTCATTGTAGTGCAATTAACTTGATTGGTAGGTGGGACAGATATATTATTTTATGTAGAATATTACGTTTTCCTTATAGGAATATTCTCTGCAGGTCACCCAGTTCATTGGTTTGTTACATGAGTATCGGTCACTTTGGTTTATTTTAATTTGATTATTCAACTTACGTTTTCATTTTGATTTTATCATCATAAAGACTAAAACAAAGGTTCGATCTCTTATAGCTAACATAATACACGACATAACGTACCATTTGTTGATGTCGAATCAACATTGGTTTGCTTCTATAAGGTTCCTTTTTCAATTTATTGACAAATCAATTGGTCAAAATAGGGTTATCTTTTTTCTTAATTAAGTTATAAGTCTATTGACCATGATTATTTCTTAAATTTTAGTTTTTCATGGTTAAATAGGCAAATATTTTGGTGAATATGATGGATAAAATTTCAAAAGATTTGAATAGATTTCAAGTACATAACAAACCCTTTTAAAATTTCATTATTTTTAATGAGATTCTCTATAAAAATCTATTCAAAATCACGAAATTTATAATCTTTAAGAATTCATTAAAATCCTAGTTGAGTACTCCTATAAATTTTAGAGTAATGCTATGTGGGATCACAAGTGTTTAACATTGGGCAGCACTAGTAACATTAAATTATGGATTTGATTAAATACAAGAAATTATGATTCATTTCATAGGGCATATAATATGTTAATATATAAACTAATGCTCAACAATCAACACTACTTATATTAGATGATATTATTCTAAATTTCGACAAATAAGTGACATAAAGGTTATCTTTGACTAGTATTTTAGAGCATCTTCAAGAGAGTCTATTTTTAAAGAGCATATTATATCATTTGTTAAACATCTATAAATTTGTAGAGTTAAAATTTTGAAATACTCCAACAAACTTTTTATATTTAACACTTGATTTTATTATTCCCAAAAATTATTTATTATTTTTCTTTATCTTTTATTTTAACTATTTTTTTAAAGATTATTTTATTGTTTTCCTATATTTAAAATTGAAACTCTTTGAATGTATTTAATTATAGAGAGTGAGTTTGACTCTCCAAATTTTCAAACTCGCTCTCTAAATTAAAATGTTAATTTAAAAAGTCTCTTGGAGCATAATTTTAAATATTGACTGTTTGAAATAGAGAACATATCATGTTTAAAGAGTCTGTTGGAAATGCTCTTACTAATAAATAACTGACTTAATTTAGGTCCCTGCAAATCTTCTCTAGCTCCACAACGTAGTTTAAGAATGCACACACGAGAACTTTTCTCAGGTGCTCTACGTGTTTTTTTAAAGCCTCGATATGCTCATCTACACTGTAATTTAGTTCATGTTTGGCTTTCATTAATTTATTTTCTTTGAACTCATTTTCAACCACTCATTTTATAAGACCCAAATTTTTATTAACTTTTTAATTTCTATGAAAGAAAACTGAAAATTTGATATTTAGTTAAAACAAACATGGGATTAAATTTAAATTGAAGTAAACTACAACAAAGTACAAACTCGTCTAACTTATTTTGCATACAAAAAATTTCATTTAAGGTGTAAAAAGTAGTTGAGTACTTAAAGTTCTATTGCACTAATCACTTTTTTCAGTTCAAATTTACGGCCAAATAAATCTTCGATATGGTTGGGGAAATTGGCGCAATTGGTCCAATACCTTTGCTCATCTTGCAATTTTTTGTTTATAAATTTATGGCGTGTTCGGTAGAGATTAAAATCGGATTAAAATTAAAAAATTAGTCGTTATTGATGACTTTTATTAGACGAGTGAGACCCAATAATGACTATATTTTCAATTTTAATTGGATTTTAATTTTTACCAAACAAGCACTTAACCTTGTAACGAATGATGTCAAACATTTGCATTCTTAGCACAACTCATTTTTTGCGCCCCAAAAAATTGTTAATTTTGTGCGTAAAATATTGTTGCTCTTATTTTATCTTTTTTTTAAAGGATAAATTTGTCAGATCAAAATAAAAAAAAGTAATAAATTAAATGTATAAAAAAAAAAGAAAAAGTATTAATAGATCATCATGTTCTTCTCTCACACCTCATCATTGCCGACACCTCGTTCAATGTCTTCTGTGAGACACAGAAGCAGGTGATTGAAAAAGGTGCATTGATTTTCTTGAAAGGCCTATTGAACATGAAAGTTTCGATGAAAAACAAGCTTCAATTGATGCTTTGAGTTAATTCTGTGTGTACAGAATTATCCTTCATAGAAGCATGCCAGGACACTGGCATGAGGGTGGCCCCATGCGAGTAAAATACTGAAAAAAAATTCCACCCACCCCCCCCGTTATAAGTATCTGATTTTTTTTTCCCTGTGAGTCATGTTTTTGTATGTGAAGCATGACATCTGATGTCATCCCTTTCTCAGTTCATTTGACTTAAATCTTCAAAACATGGTGACCCCACAAAAAATTGACTTTGTTATCTTTTTTCTAAAAATTCCGCATTTACCTTTTCTCCCTTTTTTTTTTTTTAAGTATCAGTTTGTTAGTAAAATGAATTATTGAGTTTTGACTTTAAAAATTCTTCCAATATGAATTTAGCGGTGAATAAATAGAAAGAAGAAGGTTTCAAACATAGAAGAACCTTTACAGTTTTTAAATTCTTTTTGGACATTTTGGAGAAGTAAAAATCCCCAGCAATGGTGGAGCTTTAAGGTCTAAGATCACAATTTACGCGTTGGATCCTTGCAGCCTTTGAATGTCTAATGTTGGATTTTGTTCGTCATATCTGATATTTGATTGAAATTAGTGAGTGAGTTATTTTCTTTTTTCTGTACTATATATTTGATTTTGTATGATTTTGAGAGTTGAATATGGTTGGGAAGATGAGTGTGTTGTTGAAATTAGTATTTTAGATGGAGCGTTTGTTGGAGTTCAAGATTTAGACAATTTTGAAGTTTAAGGAAATTTGACATCTTAGACATAATTGGGTTTGTTCTTTGGCTGAAATATGTTAAAAATTGGACGTCTAGATTAACAAATTATTGCCCGTAAATTTCAATTTCAGTTTCTTGCAAAACCCTTACTTCCATCCTTGATTTATTGCAAAATATGAAAATGCGTAGGCTAGAATTGTAATAGTGTATTATTTTAATTTTTGATCCCACAATACAAAAAGTTTGGGCCCGTCCCTTTTTCAATAACCTTCTTTGATTTACAATTGTTCTTCGCTTCATCCATTTTACGCAAATTCGAGAAATCTAACAAAAGGAAACAAATTTCTCCCTGCTTGATACTTGAAAGTAGAAACCCAAACTACTAAGGCCAAAAAATGGAGTGTTTGGGATGGAGTACCTATATCAAGTTGTAGAAAAACAAAATTTAATAATAATAATAATAAAAAAATAACAGAATACCAATTGAAAATCAGGACAAAACTTGAAAACCCAGATTTTAGTGATTCGAACATATTTGATGCTGGCTAAACTAGGTCAGAGAAGAAAATTAAGTGTACATTGAGGACGGCTGGCTGCTGATTTCCTCATGTCTGGTTTCCATATTCTTTGGAACGCTTGTATTGTGAAACCCCGAATCGTTCACAACTAATAATTTTAAGAGTAAAAGTATCATCCCTCAAAGAATAAGTTTTTTTTTATTAAATTATACTAATTCATTGTCGAACTCGAAATATCCTAATTATTATCTAAAGTTATGTGAAAATGATGTGTTGAGATTCTGAATTTACCTATTATCAGTCCCGTTCTCCTGCCCGCGGCGGGCAAGCTTATAATGCCCACTCGGTGAGAACCCAACGTGGGGTTCTCACATTTGGACAGAACCCCACGTAGGGTTCTCCTGCAACATCAGCAGGTGGGCAGGATAAGCTTGCACGCCGCGGACAGGAGAACATTTTCGAATTATTGATATAAGAAAAATCGGCCAAATAAATCTTCGATATGGTCGGGGAAATTGGCGCAATTGGTCCAATACCTTTGCTCATCTTGCATTTTTTGTTTATACATTTATGGCGTGTTCGGTAGAGATTAAAATAGGATTAAAATTGAAAGACTAGTCGTTATTGTTGACTTTTATTAGACGAGTGAGACCCAATAACGATTATATTTTCAATTTTAATTGGATTTTAATCTTTACCAAACAAGCACTTAACCTTGTAACGAATGGTGTCAAACATTTGCATTCTTAGCACAACTCATTTTTTGCGCCCCAAAAAATTGTTAATTTTGTGCGTAATATGTTGTTGCTCTTATTTTATCCTTTTTTTAAAG